CAAATGGAAATCAAAAGAAACCTGGAGTAGCAATACTCATATCAGATAAAATAGACTTTAAAATAAAGTCTGCTACAAGAGACAAGGAGGGACACTACATAATGATCAAAGGATCAATCCAAGAAGAAGATATAACAATTATAAATGTTTATGCACCCAACATAGGAGCACCTCAATACATAAGGCAAATGCTAACAACCAGGAAAGGAGAAATCAACAGTAACACAGTAATAGTAGGGTACCTTAACACCCCACTTACACCAATGGACAGATCATCCAAACGGAAAATAAATAAGGAAGCACAAGCTTTAAATGATACAATAGACCAGATAGATCTAACTGATATTTATAGAACATTCCACCCAAAAGTGGCAGAATACACTTTCTTCTCAAGTGCACATGGAACATTCTTCAGGATAGATTACATTTTGGGTCACAAATCAAATCTTGGAAAATTTAAGAATACTGAAATCATATCAAGCATCTTTTCTGACCACAACGCTATTAGATTGGAAATCAATTACATGAAAAAAACTGTAAAAAACACAAATACACGGAGGCTAAACAGTGCACTACTAAATAACCAAGAGATCACTGAAGAAATCAAAGAAGAAATTTAAAAATACATAGAAACAAATGACAATGAAAACACAACAACCCAAAACCTATGTGACGCAGCAAAAGCAGTCCTAAGAGGGAAGTTTATAGCAATACAATCTCATCTCAAGAAAAAAGAAAAATCTCAAATAAACAATCTAACCCTACACTTAAAACAACTAGAGAAAGAAGAACAAAGAAAACCCAAAGTCAGTAGAAGGAAAGAAATCATAAAGATCAGAGCAGAAATAAATGAAATAGAAACAAACAAAACAATAGCAAAGATCAATAAAACTAAAAGCTGGTTCTTTGATCAGATAAAAAAAATTGATAAACCCTTAGCCAGACTCATCAAGAAAAAAAGGGAGAGGACGCAAATCAATAAAATTAGAAATGAAAAAGGAGAAATCACAACTGACACTGCAGAAATACAAAGGATTATAAGATACTACTACAAGCAACTATATGCCAATAAAGTGGACAACCACGAAGAAATGGACAAATTCTTGGAAAGGTACAATTTTCCAAGACTGAACCAGGAAGAATTAGAAAATATAAACAGGCCTATCACAAGTAATGAAATTGAAACCGTAATTAAAAATCTTCCAACAAACAAAAGTCTAGGACGAGATGGCTTCACAGGCAAATTCTATCAAACATTTAGAGAAGAGCTAACACCAATCATTCTCAAAATCTTCCAAAAAATTGCAGAGGGAGCAATTCATTCCATGAAGCCACCATCACGCTGATACCAAAACCAGTAAATGATATCGCAAAACAAGAAAATTATAGACCAATATCACTGATGAACATAGATGCAAAAATCCTCAACAAAATACTAGCAAACAGAATCCAACAGCACATTAAAAGGATCACACACCATGATCAAGTGGGATTTATCCCAGGGATGCAAGCATTCTTCAATATACGCAAATCAATGTGATACACCACATTAACAAATTAAGGAATAAAAACCATATGATCATCTCAATAGATGCAGAAAAGGCTTTTGACAAAATTCAACACCCATTTATGAAAAAAACTCTCCAGAAAATGGGTATAGAGGGAACCTACCTCAACATAATAAAGGAAATATATGACAAACCCACAGCAAACGTCATTCTCAATGGTGAAAAACTGAAAGCATTTCCACTAAGATCAGGAACAAGACAAGGATGTCCACACTCACCACTCTTATTCAACATAGTTTTGGAAGTCCTAGCCACAGCAATCAGAGAAGAAAAAGAAATAAAAGGAGTGCAAATTGGAAAAGAAGAAGTAAAACTGTCACTGTTTGCCAATGACATGATATTATACAAAGAAAATCCTAAAGATGCCACCAGAAAACTACTAGAACTAGTCAGTGAATTTGGTAAGGTTGCAGGATACAAAATTAATGCACAGAAATCTCAGGCACTCCTATACACCAACAACGAAAAATCAGAAAGAGAAATTAAGGAAACACTCCCATTAACCATTACAACAAAAAGAATAAAATACCTAGGAATAAACCTGCTTAAGGAGGCAAAAGACTTGTACTAAGAAAACTATAAAACACTGATGAAAGAAGTCAAAGATGACATAAACAGATGGAGAAATATACCATGTTCTTGGATTGGAAGAATCAATATTGTGAAAATGACTATACTACCCAAAGAAATCTACAGATTCAACACAATCCACACCAAACTACCAATGGCATTCTTCACAGAATTAGAATTAAAAATTTTACAATTTGTATGAAAACACAAAAGACCCCGAATAGCCAAAGCAATCTTGAGAAAGAAAAACGGAGTTGGAGGAATCAGGCTCCCTGACTTCAAACTATACCACAAAGCTACAGTAATCAAGACAGTATGGTACAGGCACAAAAACAGAAATATAGATCAATGGTACAAATAGAATGCCCAGAGATAAACCCACGCACCTATGGTCACCTAATTTATGACAAAGGAGGCAAGAACATACAATGGAGGAAAGACAGCCTCTTCAATAAGTGGTGCTGGGAAAACTGGACAGCTACATGTAAAAGAATGAAATTAGAACACTACCTAACATCATACACAAAAATAAGCTCCAAATGGATTAAAGACTTAAATGTAAGACCAGACACTATAAAACTCTTAGAGGAAAACATAGGAAAAACACTCTTTGACATAAACCACAGCAAGATCCTTTCTGACCCACCTCCTAGAGTAATGGAAATAAAAACAAAAACAAACAAATGGGACTTAATTAACCTTAAAAACTTTTGCATAGCAAAGGAAACCATAGACAAGACAAAAACACAACCCTCACAATGGGAGAAAATATTTGCAAATTAAACAACAGACAAAGGATTAATCTCCAAAATATACAAACAGCTCATGGAGCTAGCTCAATATCAAAAAAACAAACAATTCAGTTAAAAAATGGGCAGAAGACCTAAATAGACATCTCACCAAGGATGACATACAGATGGCCAAGAGGCACATGAAAAGATGCTCCACATCACTAATTACTAGAGATATGCAAATCAAAACTACAATGATGCATCAACTCACGCCAGTCAGAATGACCATTATCAAAATATCTAGAAACAATAAATGCTGGAAAGGGTGTGGTGTAAAGGGAATCCTCCTGCACTGTTGGTAGGATACGACCACTATGGAAAACAGTATGGAGGTTCCTTAAAAAACTAAAAATAGAACTACCATATGACCCAGCAATCCCACTACTGGGCACATACCCTGAGAAAACCATAATTCAAAAAGAGACATGTACCACAATGTTCATTGTAGCACTATTTACAATAGCCAGGACATGGAGCCAACCTAAATGTCCATCAACAGATGAATGGATAAAGATATGGCACATATATACAATGGAATATTACTCAGCCATAAAAAGAAACGAAATTGAGTTATTTGTAGTGAGGGGATGGACCTGGAGTCTGTCACACAGAGCGAAGTAAGTCAGAAAGAGAAAAACAAATACCATATGCTAACACATATATATGGAATCTAAAAACAAAAATGGTACTGATGAACCTAGTTGCAGGGCAGGAATAAAGTGACAGACATAGAAAATGGACTTGACGACATGGGGTGGGAGGGCGAAGCTGGGGCGAAGTGAGAGTAGCATCGACGTATACATACTACTGAATGTAAAATAGTTGGCTGGTGGGAAGCAGCTGCATAGCACAGGGAGATCGGTTCGGTGCTTCGCCATGACCTAGAGGGGTGGGATAGGGACGATGGGAGGGAGGCTCAAGAGGGAGGGGATATGGGGACATGTGTATGCATATGGCTGATTTGCTTTGTTGTGCAACAGAAACTAACACAGTATTGTGAAGTAATTATACCCCAATAAAGATCTATTAAAAAAAATCATATAGGGCTTCCCTGGTGGCACAGTGGTTGAGAGTCTGCCTGCCGATGCAGAGGACACGGGTTCGTGCACCAGTCTGGGAAGATCCCACATACCGCGGAGCGGCTGGGCCCGTGAGCCATGGCCACTGAGCCTGCGCGTCGGGAGCCTGTGCTCCACAACAGGAGAGGCCACAACAGTGAGAGGCCCGTGTACCACAAAAAAAAAAAAATATCATATATACATGGGAATTCCCTGGCGGTCCAGTGGTTACGACTCGGGGCTTTTACTGCCAAGGGCCCGGGTCCAACCCCTGGTTGGGGAACTAAGATCCCACAGGCTGCACAGGGCGGCCAAAAAAAATATCATATATGTATATATATAATATACATACATATATGGATATACATAAACATGTAGACAGAGACAAAGGTCTTATAGTTTTTAATTTTAGCCATATCTCAGGTAGAATAATACAAAACTCAAAAGAATCCAGATCCAAATTGTGTTTCTGGCCGACAGACTAATTTAAGGTTACCTGCTCAGATGGCCAAAGTTTTTTAATGAAGATTTTGTGCGTGTGTGTGTGTGTGTGTGTGTGTGTGTGTGTGCGCACACGCACACGCGCACTGTAAGGATTCTTTTAGAAAAGCTATTTTTAGAGTCATTTTTTCTCTTAGAAACTTCTGCATACCAATCAAAGAGTATCTTCCATCGTCTCTGAGAGGTTTGCAATCCTCTTTTCAAGGGCACCCCGTAAAGTGGACTATCTTATCTAAGTTAAAATTTCCCCGAAGTGGCCACTACAATTCCAAATTATCCTTTGTAAAGTTCCTCCATTTTGCCAGAAAGGCACAAGATCCTGGTCCATAGTAAGTATACATACAAGAAGCAAGAGTTTTTAAGGGAGGAGGAGAATGAGATTTAGATGAGGTGGAACCTATCTCTTCCTCTAGATTCCCTGAAACAATCTGTGAGGAGCTCAGTAATCCTACCATTGCCTAAATCCCAGGGAATCACAAGTTTCTCCCCTTTCAGACAGAAGGGTGACTTACCAAGAAGCTTCGACAAACAGAATACAGGTATGCACAATAAATTCCGAGAGCTCAACATGCAAAGAGAGCAACATTCAGGCTGACTGCAAGGTTGGCAAGAAAGTGGTGAGCTCAATGGGCCCAGTGGGTACCAGCACGTGGTTGCTCACTGGCCTCAGAGTTGTTGAGGGTCTTCTTTGGATACCACTTCTGATGTCAGAAAACTGTCAAAAATCCAGAAATAACATAATCAAAACCACCAAATCAATAAATAGTATTTAGTAAGAGTTTGTTGTGTATATAAAAACAGGAACTGGGAGCTTCCAGAGTCAAAGATGGATATGAAGGTCACAGGCATTAAATTACAGCAAGGCTTATAAAGTGAAAATGAGAGGAAAAAAAAGTGAAAATGAGAAAGTTATTAACGTTTACAATGACTGGTTATTACAATGGGGGGTTCCAGATGGCAGGGGATTGGTTAAAAGTGATTACCTCATACCATTTTAAAGACCATGACTTAAGGGTTTTTTTTTATGATTGTCAGAGGTATTTACAAGAAATAACCTAGGTTAAGTTTCATTTATGTTCATGAAATAAGCTAGATTTAGTTGAGCTTACTGGCTTAAATGGTTTTGTCTGCTCAGGGAATTCTCAAGTCCAGTCTCCATTTTGTATTTAATTTTAACCCCCCCACACACACACACACACACAATGAGAGCAATCTGCTTTAATGTACTAGAAAAAATGTCTCAGGCCAAGCCTGCCAGAGTTTGGTTTTGCTATTAAAGGACACATTCAGGGCCCCTCAACGTACTGAAATCTAGTGTTGGGAAACTACAGAAACAGTATCACTCGCAGGAAGCCCAAATTGAATAATTTAGTGATTGGAGCTGCTCCAATTCTAACTGAAGTCTGTGCCTTCCTGTATGGGACTATAAGCGTTGAGAAACACTCTGGGTGAGGGAGTGGGTGGGACGGAATCAGAGAGGGGTTCACTACTGAGGAGGCGTATGCGGGAGACTCAGAAGTCTGTTCAATCATTCCCGGACCGAGAGCCCCATGGAAATCAAGCTGCTTTGAGCACTTCCTCGTCATGCCCGCAGTGAACCTGCAGATTCTCTGCCTTCCAGCCCCGCCAGCCCACACCACTGAGAACTATCGTCAGCCCATCTGGTCCCCGCCAGTTCTCGCAATTTCCCTCCCTTATGCTGACGCCACCATCAACAGGTCTCCGCCCCATGTGCCTCCCCACTTCATCCTTTGTCACTATAGAAACACACAGAGATTCAATGACGTTTGAGGGACTAAGAATACAGATATGAAAAAAAGCACAGTCTTGCACCAGGAGAGGCACACAGCCTACGAGAGCGAGAACACGGAAATAAATCAATATAATATGACATTAACTGAGGAATATGCAAAATACTCCTGATACAGCAAGAGTGAATTATTCCTGAACAATGTGATTTGGACAGTATTTTCCTCACCCACTATATTAGCTTCCTATTGCTGCTGTAACAAACTACCACAAACTTAGTGGGTTAAAACAACACAGATTGATTATCTTACAGTTCTGGATGTCAGATGTCTAACACACGACTCAGTGGGTTACAATCAAGGTGTGTTGGCAGGGCTGTTTTCTTTCCTGGAGGCTCTTGGAGAGAAATCATTTTAGAATCCCCGGAAAACCAGTTCTGGGGATAGCTTTTACTTGGCCAAGAGGCTCTTACAGTCTCAGATAAAGTCAAGATAATGAATAGGAGGAATTTTTCTGATGAATTCTATCTTAAATTCTTAAAAAATAATCAATAGAGGGCTTCCCTGGTGGCGCAGTGGTTAAGAATCTGCCTGCCAATGCAGGAGACACGGGTTTGAGCCCTGGTCCAGGAAGATCCCACATGCCGCGAAGCAACTAAGCCCGTGCGCCACAACTACTGAGCCCGCGTGCCACAACTACTGAAGCCCACGCGCGTAGAGCCTGTGCTCTGCAGCAAGAGGCCACCGCAATGAGAAGCCCACGCACCACAACGAAGTGTAGCCCCCACTCACCGCAACTAGAGAAAGCCTGCGCGCAGCAACGAAGACCCAACACAGCCAAAAATAAATATAATAAATAAATAAATTTATTTTAAAAATCAATAGAACCAATATATTAGTTTAATCCATTTATTAAGCACCTACTATATGCCAGGTGCTTTGCTGGGTGCTAAGGCTACAAAGATCAAACAGAGAGAGTTCCTGACCTCCAGGAATCCACCACCCAGAGAGGAAAAAACAGAAATGTGGTCAAATGCACTGTGATAACTGCTCCAGTGAATAATGTGCCATAAGATCTCAGAGGAAGCAATATAAATAATGCATTCTGCTGGTATGCAGTGTTGGAGGAGTCTTGGTGAGGAGACAGGATAGTGGCCTGTAGAGCCACAAGAGAAGGTGACATTTGAGAGTTCTTCCCTTAGAGAAAAAGAGACTAAATAACCTAAATTGAATTTTCCAGTTTCATAAATACACTTTTTATAAATAGGCTAAGAACGCTTCCCAAATAATTAAATGGAAACGTGTTTGTTCATTCTTCTGTCTCACATTATCACACATACATGGCTAATTAAAATATGTCATTTTAGGGACTTCCTGGTGGTGCAGTGGTAAAGAATCCGCCTTCCAATGCAGGGGACGTGGACCCGATCCCTGGTCAGGGAACTAAGATCTCACATGCCACGGGGCAACGAAGCCCACGCGCCACAACTACTGAGCTCGCGCACCTCAACGAGAGAGCCCGTGTGCCACAAACTACAGAGCCCACTCGCCCTGGAGCCCATGCACCACAACTAGAGAGAGAAAACCTGCATGCCGCAACTAGAGAGAAGGCCACGCGCCACAACGAAGAGCCCACACGCCACAACTAAGACCCAACGCAGCCAAAAATAAAATCAAATAATAAAATAATACTAATAAATAAATCGTTAAAAAAAATAAAATGTCATTTTAATTAAAGGCATCCATGGAAGGTGGCCAGGTATCAATGTACCGATGGCCCAGCTGCTCATTTCCTGGCAAGCAATTTCCCTGAGTAACCTACCAATGTCACCATCATCCCCAACCCAGGTGAAACTTATGCTGGAGGCAACCAGGGCTATGTGTCCTCAGAGGAAATGAGTTGCATAAGCAAGACATCCTTTCACTGTATTCTCAGAGGACTTAGTTCCACGCCCAGGGAGAAGTAATGTGACTCTCTCAGGATGGTTCAGAGCCAAGCCCCAGATTCCTGAGGGAGATTCATTGCTTGCTAACATGAACTTTGGCCCTGGGTAGACAAATCTCCAAACCATCCCCTTCATATGTCATGTTTGTTCAAGTCAAGACACACGTATCAAATGCCTACTCTATGAGAGAAACTCTGCTTTGATGCTGGAGCCACGAAACTGAAAACGACAGTCTCTGCCACACAGGGGCTCATGTCTGGCTTCCTGACTCATTTCCCAGATGAGGAAGCTAAGGCTCTGAACTTTCTGGTTTCTTTCTCTGGTCTGTTCATGTCGTACTCTCTTCATGGAGTACTTGCCTCCCTTCCTGGATTCGCAGAGCCCAACTGAAGTCCAACTTCTTCTAAGAGGATTTCCTGACTCCTGTAATCATTAACTTTTACTTTCTCTACATTTCTATTTCACTAAGTCTGTATCTGACAACTTATCACTTAATTATACTTTGCTTTGTATTATTTCTTTAATTATTTAAAGTGTCCATCACGGAACTCCAATGATATTGTAAGCTTCTTGAAGGCAGGAGTCATCATTTAAATTTCGAGTCTAAGCACAGTTAATTCTCAATATTTAGTTAAGATTTAACTGATTGGATGATGGAAACCAGCTCTCAAGCAGTAATGGAAGGACAGGAATGGTAAGCAATGCTCCCACCTTCAAAGGCTGGTTTAGTCCTAACCCAGGCTTCAAAAACCAGCTGCATTGCATTTAAAGAACCTTCCACAAGAGCATAACATAAAAACAAAAGGGTCCACATTACAGATCATATTCACGATCCATCCAATTAAAGATTGAGTCCATCAGAGTAAAAACAAAAAAGGATGATTTATTATATGGGAGAACCATGTAAATGTCAACCTCAAAAGCTAGCCTCCCAGCATCCTAAATTTAATTTAACCAATCTATTATCCATGCATTAATCTAAACCCTTTGAGATGTTTTTAAATTAAAAATAACTTTTTTTCTTATTGCCATAAAGGATTGTTTTTTCCCTCCCTCTCTCATCCCTATTCTTGGGGTCTGGCACCTTCTAGGAAAGCTTGATTAACAGAAGTAGGCATTTAGTAGGGAAAGAGACAGCAACTCTTTGTAACGTTACAACGCCTGAAAGCACATGAATGTTGGCAGTGGGAAAGGTCTGATTTTTTGTAACCATGGTAAGGGCCTCTTTCTTTTCTCCCCTCTTCTACTTACTTGCAGGATTCAAGCCCAAGGAAATCCTCAATCCTTTTCTAACCCCTGGCCTGTCTCATCCAGAAGGAACTGGATGACTGACACCCAGCTGAAGGCTATGGAGTGGAAGAAGTCTGAAGGGCTGCGTTTCCCCTGTGGGCTGTAAAAAGGCAAGTCCACTACTTTCTTCTGGTCTGTGTTGCTCTGTGTCTATATTCTTTTCTCCTGTTACAGTAGAGTTTTTCCCCTGGTACTTCGGCAGAACTTATTCCCTAGTACACTAGGTTCTGGGAAAGGAAAGGGAAAGGGATAGGGATGGGGATAGGAAAAGGAAAGGAAAGGAGAAGCAAAAGCAAAAGCCCCATCAGGAGCAGGTTATCTGCCACTTGCCTATGTGGAGCAAAGGCTTTTCACATCCTTTATACCCCTTTTCCATCCTATAGTCAGCCAGAACCTGGCACATTGTAGGAAGGCATCTGACAGTGACCTCTTTCACTGCAGAGAAAATATCATTGAAGAATTCCAAAGAACTCATAAGGGAGAAGAGGATTCCCATTGGTAGAACCAGAAAAGCTTATCCAGAGTCTTGAAGGTTCTGTCTTTACTTACTGGCTCCTAAACTTGGCACAGTGCCTGATACCCTGTAATTATATAATAATATGGATTGATGAAGTGGCTAAATAGCAGTATGATAGCTACCATGTATTGAGTACTTACCTCAGTGCCTAACACGTTGAAAATCTATAATAAATATTTGTTGAACAAAGAGGGAATAGCAGTAAGGATAATAT